CGGCGGTAATGTGCCGGCATCCCTGAGCCTGCCAAGAGCATCCTTGAGGGATGTCCTCAAGGGCAAACCCATGTGGGTCCAGCACGGAGAGCGTCAGCCCTCCAAAAGTTAGGTGTGAAGTTTAAGCCAGGCTCTAATTAATGGAGAAACCTCTGGAAAATGATTCTCCACCCCCACACCCCACCGCAGCAATAGGCATCTACTTGGGAGTAGGCTGAGATGCTCCATACCCCTCAGATCAGACCCCTCTGGACCATGCACCGTGATGTGGCCCTGCTGGCGGCAGCTCTGAAGGCAGCAAACCCGACAAAAAGGTGGGATCTTAAAGCAAGGCCAGTTTAACCGGACAAGCACGTCTGCACGGAGGTGGCATGGCCAAAATAACCCACTTTTCAGCCAAGGGCTGAGTGACATTCTTAAGTTTTCCTGTATGGGGAATCTCAGGAAAACCTGAAGAGTAAAAACTTAGACTCAAAGCAAAGTACAAAGAAAAAAATTACCAAGGAAGAGAGTGAGACCCTGCAAACACTCAGGCAATGGAGCGACCCTGCTCTATGAGCCGTGTAGGTGAGATCTGATTTAGCCCCAGGAGCAAAAGGAACCTCTAAAAATAGGAGAGTCAGGTTCACAGCCACTGCCAACCATCGTGTCCCCCCCCCCAAGCCAATAGTGGCACCAGCTTTGTGTCAGCTGAAGATCTGACCTCAGATGTCTTATCTCAGCTTTGGCCTCTGCTCCAAGCTCAAGATTTTTTCCAAAACTGTCTTTAAAATAAAATCCAATCTATGTACATGCTCAGTAGCCAGCAATACAGCATCACCAAAAAAAAAAGTCCCACCAAACAAGTCCTCCAGAACCTGCTGATGACCTACAGGATCCCAACACGCGCTCAACAGCTTGAGAGGGGTGTTCCCCCCCAAAAATGTGACCCTCCAGGGGGTCACTAGCCTGGAAATCCTGATGGAAGTGAGATCAAGACCCCACAAGTTGGGCTGCAAAGGGAAAAATAACAAGGAGTTACAAGTAAGCAGATGTAAAATGACAACCGGGGAAGTTTCCCATGGGAAGAAAAAGAGTTTTACGCCTCAGGTGGAACAGCAGCTACACTAGGGACCAAATTTTCCCTGAGACTGGACTAGACACAGGAGCCAAGATCCTGTGAGCATCAACGCTGCAAGGAAAAGAAACTAAAAACTTGCAGGGAGGCGGGGGGGGGAACGTCGAATGGCACGTTCACACAGTTGCCAGCTCAGGAGGTGCCGGGAGGGAGAAATGCTGGAAGAAGAGAAAGATGGAAACAGCCAGGAGCCAACTGAGTCAGGGCCCGAGGGGCTGCTCTGCGGGCGAGGAAGAGCGAGGACCGGACAAATTCAGCCCTTGAGACTCTTAGTCACTGCTGTCGCACAACCGAGGGAGAGGGTTTACGCACACAGCCCGGGACCGCTCTCCTTCCCGCTGCTGCCAAGGTTTGGCAAGATGCACCGGACCGGCTGGGC